AAGAAAGAAGAAGAAGAAAATCAAGTTGCTGGCAAAAGTCAAAAAGCAAAAGTCACTCCAAAATTACACTAGATGACTCCAGACATGGTATCTAAAAAGTTCTAAGAGGAAAAAGGCCTATCGTCACACATCCTTCCTAGGAAAATTAATGACAAATATATTCCAACAAATGAAAAACTAACACAGGAAAGAGAAGAAACGATATAAAAATAATGGAGACTTAACAGAAGGACAAGAGTCAAACACTGAAAACTACAAGAACATTGTCGAAAGAAACAAGATCTAAATAAGTGGAAAGACACCCCATGTTCCTGGGTGACACGATCCGATACTGTTCAGATGGCAAAACTCCCCCAAACTGACCTGAGCGAGACCCCAGGGCTGTGCCATCCTGTGAGCTGTAGCTTAACTCTTAAAAGTCTATTTTCTGGTTGGCCGCTGTCCTTGATCATGGCCTAACAGTATGTAAAATGACACCTCTGTTTTCTGAAAGGCAAAAATACTCATGTGTTTCCTTTTACCCAAGAGAAGAACTTTGGGGCTTCCTTCTTCTTCCTTGGGGTCTAAAGGTCTAAAGAAACCCCTAGGGCCTATCGGATTCCTGATTCAAAACAAGAACGAGAAGATCCGACTCAGAGAAATTAAAGGTGACAACGGGAACTTAAGAATTAGACTGCATGGAAGCACGTGACGGCAGTAGCAGTTTGTGTTAACGTGGCCAAAGTGTACTCAGAAGACCCGACGCAGTAAATGCTTTCAGTATGAGGAACAGCTTAAACACTACTCAGTCCAATAAGCTGGAAAAATAGCAATAGTAACTCATAGGAAGTATGAGAAACAATTAAAAGAAAACAAAAATATTTGATGAATGAAACAGACAATTCTTTGGCAAGTCTAGCAAAGAAAAGAGAGGGAACGTAAGGATTCGGACAGCCGAGGGGACGCCGCTCGCCACAGACACAAGCCCAGGCACAACAGCGCACACACTGATGCACCAACGCGCCTCTGCAGGGCTCACACGGCTTACACACAGGAAGGAAGAAGAAAGTCTTACGTGAGAATATAAACGGGGAAAAAGTTCCAAATAAAAATATTTGCAAACCAAATTCAGCAACACATTAAGAGTGTTGAAACATAATCAAGGACCGATTCTACGAACGGGAGCTCTTTACGTCAATTACAGGAACACAGATATGCTCATCTCAAAAGACGCTAAAAAGACATTTGATAGAACTCGACATTTATTCTTTACAAAAACATTAGTGAGCAGAAAATAAAACGAAATATCCTCAAACAGAAGGTATCCATCAGGAAATAAAAGGGGCCAGTGTAATGCACAGGGGCACGGCAGGAGAAGCGTGGCGTACCTGTCACTTCACCGGGCTCTGCAGGTCCTGCCAGGCGACAGGAGGGAAGGCAAAGCAAGGGTGACGAGACACAAACAGAAAAGGAGAGACAACTGTCATGGCGGGCAGAGGGATGCTCGTTCATCTAGAAAACCACAAGGGCCCACTGAAACGTCACTAGAAGCAGAAAGACTTTGACGCAGATATACGACGTGTCGGCTCAGACACGCAGCTTTGGCAAAAGCCAGCGTCAGTGAGCGGAAGGCCAGGGGGCAGGACCCCACGTTGCCCTCCCAGGAGTGGGCGGGCCGGCCCGCTGCCCTCCAGGGGCCGAGTACCTCCTTGTTCTCCTCCTTGTGCACCGCAGTCCACACGAAGCCGAAGGCCCCGCTGCCCAGGGGGCTCAGCGTGCTGTACTTGTGGGAGTAGGCGCCCTCGCAGGCCGCCAGCCCTTCCAGCTCCACCGCCCCAGGGGCTTCCGCAAACCACGGCCAGCTCCTGAGCGTCTGCAAGTGCAAAGGACGGTCTGCGGGGCCACACGCGGCCGTGCCAACACAGAGGAGGCAGCAGCAGGCGTGGGTCACCCCACGTTCCCTGCAGCTGTGGGAACAGCAGCACTTGGGCCTCCCGTGCCCTTGGGGACCCGAGAGCCAGGCGGCCTCGACACACAGTCAGAGTGTATTTACACCCCACCCTGCACGTGGGGCACACGCACACTTAAAATCCTACACGTGGCTTCATACTTACACAGGACATTAGAAGACAGTGTTAAAAAGCCACGAACAGACTGTCTCCCATCCCAGGGGAAACAGACAGAACCACTGGCTGAGAACCCTCCCCACACAGAAAGGCGGGGCTGCGGCAGAGGCCCACCTGGCCCCGGCTGGCCCCGGGGAGCTCACACACGGAGTGGCTGGAGCTGGGCAGGCTGGCCAGGAGCAGGTGGGTCCGTGGGGCCGGGGCCAGGTGGCTGTGCAGGAGGTCCTTCACCAGCCAGCAGCAGAAGAGGGGCGTGGGGCCCCGGAGCTCCACCCGCTTCACCTGGAAGTGCACACCTGGAAGGGGAGGCGAGAACGCACAACCTGCGCTGATTCCTGAGGAAGAAAGCACGCTCGCCTGCACGGCACGGGGACCACACGGAGCGCTGAGGACAGTGGACAGAGGGCACCCAGGAGAAGGGAGGCGTGGAGGGCGGCATCCCGTCCACGGGAAGCACTTGGGAGACCTGCCAACGCAGATGAGCCTGGAAAACGTGCCCCCAACACGCCTGACACGCGGGAGTCTCTGCCTCCGAGTGAAGGAGTGTGAGGGCTCCAGTGCAAATGTGCAGGTGTGCCTGCTGCAGTCCACGGAGCCACGATGAACCACGCGCACACACGTGTGGAGGCGTCCTCACGCGCGCCCCCCGCAGGGTAAACACCAAAGCAAGCCCGGGTGTCTTTTTCATGGGTGGGAGGCTGACCGGCAATTTTCTTTTTGTTTCTATTTTCTAATATTTCTCCAATAACATGTATTACTTACATAACTTTTTAAAGTTTAGAATGAAAGCCTTACTAAGCAACACTACAGACTCAGCAATGAAAACACAACTGGCTAAAATAACGTTAGCTATTAAGAAATTAGGAAAATAAGGAGGAAAATAAAACAAATAAAATGAACCTCAAAGGGGCAAGCGAAAGGGCCTGACCATAACACCCTCCCACAGCGAAGATTTTTAGAGATCAGAGGAGCCTGAACCCCAAAAGCTCATGAAGAACCACCACGAACACCTCATTTGGCTTCTTTCTCCACCCCTCAGGGTGACCCCCAGACTAGGCCAGCAGCTCCCGGAGCCCACCCTTCCTGGGCATGCGCACTTGTCATCCTAATCTTCAAAACCCTACCAGGGTGAAGCCCCAGCAGAGCCCAGGACGAGGAAGCCCCACAGGCCACCACGTGTGCCCGGGGCCGCCACGCCTCCCCCAGGACGCACTCAGCAGCGAGCCGTCTCGGTGGCAGCAGCTCCCGGCGTAGGTGCCCTCCTGGATCTCGCACTGCGGGCCGGCGGCCCTGGGCATCGCCGAGCTGTCCCCTCTCACAGGCGTGGAGGTGACCTGGATGCTCAGCCTCGGCTCCTCCGACGGGCACGTGTCCGCGGGGCCGGCTCCCAGCATGGCCAGGATGCGGCCCGGGGTCTCTCTGCCATTCACGCCGTCACACTCCAAGGACTCCAAATGGGTGTCAGACGGTTCTGGCCGGTCGCGGTCCAGAGGGCACTCACGGAAGCACTGGCCTTCGCCAAGAGCACAGTAGGTGCCAGCCAGCAATAACAGCTCCCTGTCATCCACTGCCTCTGACCTCGGCCCATGTACCGCACTCACATCCACATCGGAGCCCGCCAGGGAAGGAGAGGCTGTCCCCACATGCTCAGACGAGGCACAGGAACAGTTTGAAGAAGTTCGGTCCGCCCACTCGCTGAAAAAGAGCTCCTTGAGGTTCCAGGAGAACGAATTCCCACTGGCCTCCCGGGCCCCCACCGTGTCCAGGGCGCCAGGGACGTCCGTGGCCAGGGCGTAGCAGGCCGCGGAGCTGCCAGAGCGGCCGGCGTGCAGGTCTTGCCCACCGAGGTCACACAGCGACACAGGGGCGGAGAGCGAAGGGTGCTCGGCTGGGACCAGCTCGATGTACGAGACACCCAGAGGCCCCCCAAAGCTCGATCTGGACAGCTGCTCCTTAATTAAGCAGGTCCGCAGCTCCTCCCGGTCATTCTGCGCTCCCAGCCACGGCTCCTCCAAAGCGGGCCTGGAGGCCAAAAATCGCAGCCCAGAGGGGCTGGGAGCTGAGGCCGGGCTCCCCTGGGGCACACTGTGCTCGCCCTCACATCCAGGGTGCAGCCCCAGCAGGCCCGCCCCTGTCGGCTGCCCTGCAGAGTCATCCCGAAGGTCTGGGTTACTGGCACTGCTCAAGTCCGTGCATTCCAGCTGTGCTGCCTGGGATAGGCCGCTCGCTTCCGCGCTCTCGTACCCATCCTCAGTTGGGGTCTGAGTTTCAGAACTGTCGCATGAAACAAATGACCTGGTGTCCACCATGTCAGACCTGCCTCCTCCCAGGACGTCCTGTTGGAGACTCTCTGTTGGGGCAGGTTCCGCTTTCTCTGGGACAGGGTCCCGCTGGTCCTCAGGCAGTGACCGTTCCTGGGCTGCCGGGCTTCCTTCTGGGATGCTGTCCACCCTGGGGATTATGATACAGATGACACTGACTTAGGAGCCATGGAGAAGTCAAAAAGAGAGACCACATGGCCTTCTCCTCTATGAGAGACAAGTACAAAGCACTCAACAGCATAAACTTATGACAGAGAAAAAAACACTAAATTTTCTAACCAAGTTAAAAAATAAAGCACCAACTCGTATTTCCAGCTGAATCCATGTTTAGCAATGATTACTCAGAGACTACCGCGGAGCGCCCAGGACCACACGCTCAACACCGAGTCGGGACGCCCTTTCCCAGTGGGCGGGCGCCCCCAGCCAAGCACCCAGCCTCGGCCACACGGCGGGCACCTCGCGGAGGGTGGGAACAGAGGGGAGAAGAGACTCAAGAGTGTTGTGTGTCCTGTGTAAAGCTGACCTGTTACTGGCTGCAAATGGCACCTGACCTCACGGCCAACAGGAAACAGCTCAGAAGGGCCAGCGCAAGGACCAGGAGGGCCTGGGGTAGGGGCTGCCAGGCTCCTGAGAGCTGGGACAGAGGGCGAGGACAGAGGGCTCACGGGCATGTTCAGCACAGGGTGGCCACCAAGGAAGAGGCTGCCACAGCCCAGACAGTTTACAGGCGGCTGGCCCAGCTGCTGTGGCACCCACTCGACTGACTTGCGCCAGCCCCAGGCCGGACACCAGCACCAAGACCAACAGAATGCAGCCATGCGCAGCCTCGCCAGGCAAACACGCCGCCGACCTGGCCAACCTTACCCCAGAGGTTCAGAGAGGCCCACGAGAGCGAGGACGGGTGCCACAGAGGAAGGAACCACGAGCAGAGCTCTGAGGGGCAGAGAAGTTGGCTGGGGGCCGAGAGGTGAGGCCAGGGGCTGCAGAGGCCAGGCGAACGTTATCTGCATCTCTCGCCACATCCACCCCTCCACCCTATCCATCGACGGAGGAGACCAGCCCTGTGCCAGGCTCGGGGGCTGCAGGTCCTCTGCGTGGTCGGCAGATGAGGCAGCAGCGTCTCACTCCCCTCGGCAAGCCGGCAGCAACCCCTCTGATGTGGCCACAGGGTCAGGCCCGGGGCAGCTCTGCAAGATCCCTCCTGTCTCCACGCCTCCCCAGCAGCCAGGTGTCACCCTGTCGCTAAATTCTGGCTGAGATGAGGAAATGGGGGTGGGTCTTCTCCCCCTCCCCTCCCTTCTCCTCCACTGCCCAAGTCTGCAAGCTGTGATAAGCAGCGGGGACATGGGGACCCGAGACCCCCTGGCTGTCTGGGGGCCTCGCTCAGGGCCTCGGCACCTCGTCTATAGTCTAACGGTCCACTCGGCTTCCTCGGCAGCCGGCCGAGCTCCCGGGGCACTGGGAGGGCAAGCACACGGCCTGGAGGAGACACTGACTCGGTCCCCAGAACACGAAACGCTCAGGGTCTCGCTTCCCGACTTGTTCCTCAATCCCCAGCCTTGCTGTTTTCACTGTTTTAGCTCATTTCCTTGACTGGACCATAATTCGTAGAAACGAGCCTGCAAGTCTTTTGCGATGTTCATCTGTTGAGCGAATACGTGAGTGAGTGAACGCGTGAAGGAAACGGTAGTGACTGCACCGTGTGTGTTAGAGACGCAAATCACTGCTCAGAACTGAGAGGCTGAGCTGCCCGCCTCGGGGGGAAGCAGGGGAGCGACTCACTGGGGGCACCTCCTCACTGCACGGCACGAAGCTCAGTGCAGAGCAGAGCATGCGCCCCCCGAGACACCCCAGCAGCGAGCGGCCTCGGGGCAGGCCCATCCTGCAGCATGCACCCCTGCCACGGGCAGAGCCACCCCTCATCTGCGGATGAGCACACGGCAAGGAGGGCGAGCAGCCACACTGCCCACATCACCAAGAGTGGGCTCCATGGTCAAGTAAGAAGAGGCCAGGGAGTCTAAGCGAACAACAGGAAGCAGCCGCAGTACCCGCCCACAGGAGACTCCCCCTGAACCGAGGGTTGGACGTGAGGCAGTCGGAGCCTGCAGCACACAGAAGGTCTTCGAGACATACACGTGTGTGCACGTGTGCGTATATCCAGAGGACGCCCTGCGCAGTGTGATCCTATTAGTGCTACAGGGACAAGGGCAGCCGTGCGTGAGTACACGCACGCACACGCATCGTGTACTTTTATAGTTAAGTGCATTGAGGAATGCTCTAGAAAGATATAACTGCTCGCAGAGGCGCCCTGGGGGAGGTTGGGATCTAATTAGGAGAACTTAGTTTTTTGTTATTCTTCTGTACTTTAGAAAAAAGCGTCCTGGCCCCAGGGCATGAGGGGTGCTGGGTCCCGGTGCGAGAGCAGAAAGTGCATGGGTCACACGCACACCCAGTGTGTGGCACATGACTGCTTGCTCTGCTCTGCACGAGAGGACTGTGATAGCGGGTTTTTTATTCTTACTTTTCTAAATTTTCCAAATTTTCCAACATGAACTTCTTTTAGTCTAAACAGAATACTTCATTTAAGCCTGTACACACAGGACAGATTCAAATGGTTCTAAAAATGAGAAAATTCTGCTTATCAGTTCCCTGGAAACTACTAAAAGTTTCCTTACAGGTGAACGAGGGCTGTCACATAGAGGCTGCTGGGGACTGCACCAGGTAACATGGAGGAACTTGGCCTTCAGTTCACCTGCACCTCTGACAGAGGACTTACCCCGGAGTGGGCCGAGAGGGGAGGGAAGAAGGGCGACCACCTCCAGGGTCCGCTTGGGCCTGGGACTCAGCGACGGCTTCTTGGCTGCCCAGTGGCTTTAGGGTGTCAGCTCGTGGCAGTGTGTGGTCACCAGCAAGCACGTTAGCCTCTGGACCTAGCAAAAGAGTGTTTCCTATTCACAGGCCCCTGCAGATGGGTCTCTTCTTCTCCCCACGACTCAACAGCCGGGCAGGGCTGGCCTCCTAACTCCATCACACCTGCCCGCAGCATGTCCCAGATCCAGCCACCTCTCAACATCCAACGGGCACCCCAGATCAGGCCAGCACCCTCTGCTCTCCCCGCGGCTTTGTCCTGGGCCCTGCCCTCAGCAACATGAGCCCACCGACTTGAGTTAGAGCAGGGCCCTCATCGGCCGATGGCCCCCTCAGGGCTCCAGCCCCTAAGATGACCCCACGGCCCTGCGGCCTGACTGCTGCCACCCCAGGCCTCCCGGCCACACGCGGAGCTGCTGCCCCGCTCCGGAATGCCGTCCCTGCCACCTCTCCAGGGGGCCTTCATAGGCCCCAGAGTGAAGGCTGCACGTCCCACTGCTAGTCCCTTCCCGTACACGGCACCTATGCTGTGAGCCACCCGCCTCCCCACCAGCTCTACGGGGCCCAGCGCAACTCTGCGCGACAGGGCCTAGCGCACCGCAGGTCAGTCGCGCCAGAGGGGCGAGACCATTCTTATCAGCCAGCAGTCAGACGAAGGGATCGTAGCCTCTGGCTGACACCACGTCTCCAATGCATAAAGGAAACCCCATGTTAAAAAGTGGCCATTTGAAGAGTCACCGACTAACACGGCACTTTTTAAAGCAAAACACCTCAGTCTGACTTCTAGTGCCCCCAAGTGACACTGTGGGGCAAGCTGCGTCCCCCGTGACGGGGGTGGGACCACATGCTAAAGAAACATCTCACGAAGCCCAGAAAACTGAACACCATCTGACAACAAATGTTCATTTTACCAGTCAGATGCTGTAGTCACATTATTCCCTCAGCAACTGTATTAAATCTACTGTGTTTATTCAAACACCAGGTCTTTTCACAAATCTATCCTCAGGTGACAGTACATAAACCACCCTGGGCTTGCCAGGGGTCAACGGCATCGCATGAGTGCCATCTTGTCCTGACGTGTGACCCTGCCACTGCTGCTTGGACTGTCTCGTGGCCTCGTTGCCTACGTTCCCCCCCACAAAACAGAGGCCAGAGACCCAGCACCGCACCCCATCAGCCCACGGGGACAGGGAGGAGGCGGCCGAGCCGGGGTGCAGCTCCTCCTGGCTCATTGTCCACAGAAGGCAAGTACCAAGGAGGCTGCAAAGCGGCCCACTCCCTCCCAGGAGCCCAGAGCCAGGGAGGGTCCCACTCCTCGCAAGGCCCTCAGAGCCTGCCCTCACAGCACGCGGCCTAAGGCAGTCAGCAAGGGGGGGCTTGGGAGACATTTGGGGATAACTTTAGATGTTAATCAGAAGGACAGCGATGAGCATAATAAAGAAACCCTGCTGTGACAATTTAGTTCAGGGTTGGCCAGTGTCCATTTCAGCTCAGCCTTAAACTAGGTAGAGCCGCAGAGGTGACTGAGAGAAGACTGTCAAGCAGCTCCTGCGTCCTAGACACACCCCCGGGGGGATCGTCCTGGGGGAGTGCCAGTCCTCTCTGCTAACACAGCAGTGAGACACACGTGTCCCATCCCTGGAAACACTAAGGCCCACAGGACAGAGGAACACCGAGCCCACGCAAACTGTGCCCCCCGCCCCCGCACACCACACCCCCACAGCCCAGCTCCCTGCAGTCCCCTGGGACGGCACGGGCAGGGTGGAGCAGGCGCCTGAGAAAAGAAGGCTAAGCCTCACCCTGGCCCTGCTGGGGGTCCCTGGGGAGCTCCCCGGGCCCACTCTGGCTGCCCAGGTCCAGGCAGCGGGCCAGGTCTGGTGGCAGTAAGGAACAGTCGTACGCGAGGTCCATGTGGTGGTAGAAGCCAGGGATCAGGAAGGTGATGTTCTAGAAAACAGACAGCAGCACTCAGACCCCCAACAGGCCAGACCCGCCGGACCGCCCGCCGCCCCTCCTCCCCCCCAGGAGAAAAGGAAGCCGCAGCGAGCAGGTCTCTGGGTGTGTCGTTCCTCCAGAGGGGGGAGACCCATCGAACTCCTCCGCCAGGCCTCACAATCAACAAAGAATTCATGACTTTCCCCCTTTTTCTTGTGAAAAAAAGAAAATGAACACCCTATGAAGCAGGTTGTTCCGACACCTACACATCTTTCAAGCAGATGCCTAACCTTCACCCATGTTCTCCTCAGGCCTAGGAGCCCGCGTTGGCAAACTTCTTACTCGGCTCTCAGGGAGTGACTGTGCCCTGGCAGTAAAGGACAAAAGGCCCTCAAGCCACAGGAAATTGACCCCCGGGATCCAGCCAGACTGTGCCAGGGGTGGTTTCTGAGGGTCCAGGCCCAGGGGCTGCAGGGACACAGGCCTTCCCTGAGCCAGCATGCCCCCGCTCCCAGCCGGCCCTTTGTCTCGTGAATCTAGAACACACTCTAATCCCGGGTGGGGGGAGAGGGCACCCACCGCACTCTCTCTGAAGGGACCAGCCACTTGCCTTCTTAGTAGTCCTATTACGCAACAGAGAGAGACCTGTTTCTGGAGCCTCAGATGAGATCAAAGTTCTGACCGGCTGTCACTGGGTCTGGAGTCCGCCCCAGTGTTTGACAAGAGAGGATGGGCGCTCTGCTCTGTGTGGCAGCAGCCCGTGGGGCACACGCCACAGGCCTGCACCTGCATCTAGGAGCCAGACTAGCCAGGCCATCAAGCAGGGGGCTCATGTCCCCTCCCGGGGAGCCCAGGGAACCACTGAGACCGCCAGAGGAGGGGCATTCTGAGGCTGCCTAAGGCATAGCCCCAGCTGGCAGAATGAGCCTAGGGAGGACACCACTGTAGCTGATTCCACAGGGAACAAAATGAGCCGTTCCACTAAAGTTCAGCCCAAAGGGCCAATTTGTGACCAAAACACTCTGGGTCTCTGGTGGTTTGTTTGCAGTAACTGATATAGGACTGCTCAGTGACCTCGGATAAGAGGAAAGGGACAGCTGCCACTCCCGGGAGCCTGGCCCTCAGCATGGAGACTTCTACCTCCTTACATTCAAGGAAAGTGCAGTACAAGAAAGAAGGTTCTAGAAACACCTTCCTCTGACCCTGACTGCATGACGGCTCCCCCATGGCCCCCAGGACAGTCAGGGATGTGCAGACAAGCCCCACCTGGGGGTGCAGAGAGAATTGCCACAGCCGCCACACGCCCTTGTCCAAGAACTCAGACTGGACTCGCTCAGGAAGAGCCCCTCCCTTCCTCGGGTGGCCCTGGGGATGGCCCGCAGGGTCACGGGGTGCTCAGTGTGGGGTCCAGAGGAACGAACGGGGAGTGGGGCCGGCAAGCAGGACTGGGAGAGGCGGAAGCTATGGGACACGGACCAGCACCCCCATGGGGAGGCCCCACCTTGCCCAGGAGCTCAGACTTCCCGTAACCGAACAACGTCAGCGCGAAGCTGTGGTTGATGCCGTAGATGGTCCCGTCCGGCAGGAGGGTGACAAGGCCGCTGACGGTGGAGAACGCCCAGACGGACGCCCAGTAACCCTGCTGCGGGGCCCCGGGGCCGCCCTCTGCCTCCTCCCCGCTGGGTCTGGACTTCAGCTTTATGCTCAGAGGGAAGGTGGC